TATAGAAAAAGGCTATAGAAAGAAGATCGCTACTTAGGTTGCCGAGAATACGTAAATTCCCCTATTTATATTCAACCCAAAATTAAGTTTAATGCACGTAAATTGGAGAATATGCAATTTACTCAAAAGTAACTTATTGAGTTGAACTATTGGAAGATTGCCGCAAAAGCTCAACGCAGATGTCGCCACCGCATGATGATGATAATGTTGACAGACTGCATATAAAATTCGTGAAAATTAGCATTAAATCATAATTTTCATCAAGCCTGCGTGAAATCCTTCCAATATAACATTCGAATTGAAGAAGAAAACGTTTTTACGATCAGACTGATGTGCATCTTTGACTTTTCCAGGTGAACTTACATAAGATATATTCATTTCATTTCACGGCTCCATCAATGCTGCATCGTAAATATGATGGTAAACAGAAGTAAATTGCTCAATTACTCAAAATAAAGATGATTTGCCATCTTGTTATCACTTTGAAGACCATCTAGCACCATTTTATACTATGGTGCGTGTTGAGTAAATCAAGTTCCGGTGCGTTTTCCGTCGAAAATTGTGAGTATCAATGTGTTTGCTTAAAATAGGCCAAAATGAACATTTATTGAATATTGGCGTCCTATACAACCAATTCTCTATTACCACCAGCATGATACAACCTATCCTAAGTAAATTCACTTAATTTCCACTCTCATCTTAGTGAAAATCGCACATATTTACCATTTTCTGAAAATGCGGGAGGTAACCTCTCCCTGTGGGTGCAAACTTGTTATGCATAATTTGCCATGAAAACATCTACGATCCATACCGAAATAATAACAAATAGTTTTCAAACACGTTTTCTTACACGATTCAAGCAAAAGTTTCCACGGGAAATTATCAGCTTTTCTTTATGGACCGATTTGCCGCAAAAAGCGTCTGTTTTACTTGGAAAATTTGGAAACTATCCTCCTTCTAGTAGTTCTCACTTCGAAATGTAGGAGGCGAAAGCTTGAAAAAGTTTCACTGCAAGACGCCACGTTGGGTCGAATCTCTCGTTCCTTTTAATAAAGAGTGCAAGTGAGAAGCTGAATAATTATTCAATGTTAAGTAAAAAGAACTCAAATTTTGGGTAGTACTTTTTCTTCGTGTACGTTACCATCCACTCACGTTCATAAATAGCACGAGCATTGATTCGTGAATTCCCTTTCATGCACTTCCCTCTTATTATGTCATCGAGTAATAGAAAACAACTGAAATACACCGAAAATTCCACGCACTTTATAAATTTCCACCTACCGCAACGTGTTACCATGGCCGTTAAAACAAACGCATAAACGAAGCTGAAACGCCTAATGTTTACATCCAGCTATCAATAACTGACGAACAAAAAGAACCAAAACATTGGCTTCAAGCAAAGTGTTCTTGGATGACTTTTGTGCCACAGGAGTGATCTTAGGCTGTGTTCCATTTGCAAAATTTTCACTTAAATTTGACACTTCGAAAATAAATTAAGATGTTCGAAAATCCCTCTGTTGTTGATCGGCCGATTTTCGAGAAAGCGTCTGTCAAAGTTGATTCCTTGTCTGTCAGAAATAAGTCTGCTGGAATAGCAGGTTTATTTGAAAATTTTCCATCTGTCAAATTTAAGTGAAAATTCACCAAATGGAACACAGCCTTCGTTTTAGGACGGATTTAGTCTCATAGCCCATACAAACCGGATCATGGTTCGTTCATATCTCCGTTGACCAGTTGACCTGTTCCTCAAATATTCAAAAATGTTCTATAAGATCTTAGTACCTTACATTTGGTGGTTGTTGTGTCCAATTCGGTTTGCGTCCATATCTCCGGAATCAGTTGACCGATTCCAAAATTGTTCAAAAACTTTTCATGATACCATGAAACCTTTAATTTGGTGATTGCTGCGTCAAATTTGGTTCAGTGGTTGCCGAGAAACCCGACTTCGTTCTAGTTCACTAAGTTCGCTCGTAGACTTCCGACTATTTAGTTCGCTAAGTCCATGTTTTTCGGATGTTGTTCCGTCCATATCTCCAAAACCAGTTGACTGATTCTATAAATAATACAGAATTTGCAACAGCTGAATGGCAGAACCGTTCGGTAAAAATCAGGCATTATAATTCGGTAGTTTCAAGCTTCAAAACAAAGAAAATTTCACCGCAATTGGGTTGTTTAAATGTATTGAGGTAAACACATGTTCGTAATCTGCATTAAAAATGGACCCAAAATCCTTTTTTTTTGTAAATAAATGCGATTACATTATCAGAAATCACCATGCCTTCCCGGGACTTTTTATGGGAGCGAGCTGTCATCTAATAGATTGAGTGCCAAAAATTCAAAATTTAAATCTTGATTTTAAAACGTCTTAAGATAAATGTCTAAGAGATCGATAATTATATCGTTGTGCTCAGAAAATGAAGCTGTTTTAGATGATGTATAGATACCGGTATGTTTTTTTTAAATTAAACAACCCATGGAATGAGGGTCAAAGTTTTCATCCTCATTACGGATGAGTACGAAATTTTAAATACCACCATATTTTTCAAAATATCATTAAAAAAAGACAAAAAACATCGTGTAAAAACATAATTGAGCGTAATGTAATGCGAATGAAAATAGCACGAAATTTGTTTGCATAGTTATCAAAAGTCGATGAAGAGAGTAGATCAACGCAGATAGGACCTTTTGAAACGTTCATCTAGTTTTGTGATAGATTCGCGTACATCATAAACTAACACTAAGACCAGGGGGTCCCGAAGAAACATGCTCAATCTGTTGGCTTAGGTCCTAAGCTAATTGAAGCACCCCGCGAAACCTAGGAAAACCCACGAACCCCTCATTAAACTCTGTCAAATTTTTAAGGTGGATCAAAACAAACACAAACTATGACAGATTCTGGAGTACGATAATGGGGTACGCTTATGAGGTACTTGGGACCAATGGGCTAGTCAAGTAGTGAGCGAATTTCAAATCGTTAGTGTCGTATTGATTGTTGGTCACATGGTTCCCTTGAAGCATTTTTCCTCTGTTACTTTCGGTCGAGGTAGTCTGTCTGTAAGCCAGCCAAAGACAGAGGTTGCGAATAAGGTGATGCAGATGCTCCCACTGAATATGTATAATGCTCTGTGAACGAACATGTTTACATAGATGATGGAAGGGCAAACAATAAATATTAAATTTAAAACATATTCCGCGTTTTCCCCACCATTCGTCTATTCGAGGGTGGAAGTGTGAGGGAGGATGCGATGTGTTTTTGTTATGTTATCGGAGTATCGTTTTATATGTCAGGTTAAACCTGGGCCATTCTTCTGAAGCCTTTCATCCCTTTCCTGATAGAATAAGGAAAGTAATACGCGAGAAAATTTGAGCGCTAAAAAATAAGAAAATCAAGCATTTTGTTAAAGGGCACCTTAATCGATCGAGGTAGGTACATTCCTAAAATTTAGAGTGAGTGCTGAGTGGTTTTGTTGAATTTTCTATTCACCAAACCAGGAAATTCGTCATACAGATTTATATCAAGGATATGCGAAAATCTAATTCAAGAAACCGAAAATATAGATACCTCAGCAACATTAAGCTCGATTAGAAAACCCAATACACTCGCACAAAAATACCGGCTACAGCCAATCAATAGAAATCGAATTAATTTTCCTTTTTTCCCAGATTCTATCCGTTTTCTGCCCGGGAAGGTGCACCATCGAGTGCCATCCGGTGTCGGATTTGATTTGGCCTCAATTTGACGTGTGAGGTTATGACGTTTTATTTACCTACATGGGGGTCCTTCTCCCCCTCTTTCTAGCTGGGATCATTTTTCTAGGAAATGGGGAAATGCGATTCGAGTGTGTCACGCTGAGTGTGTGTGTCTCATCTGCGCTGCTTCAATGTATGTATAGAAGATGTGTGCGGTGGATATTTCGGGTTTTATGATTGATATTTGTAGAAAGACTTTTCCAGCTTTGCGGAGAAGATTTCCGGGTCTTTTCATATTTCGAAGAAGAATTTATGGGAAATTATGTGCCGTTTGACAGGTGAAATATAAGTGGATGGGTGTTCGTTTGTGAGTGAGTGTGATAGAGTCCTCTTTAACTGTACACGTGGTGAAAAGATGTATTTTAGATAATTCATGGCCTGCTGTTTCATTCGAGGTTTGATTCCAGTTTTTATTTAACGAGTGTCTTTTAAAAATATTCGACGGGAAAATATTGAGCTATTACCGACGGGAAGGTCGTATAATCTCTACATGATATATTTAAAAGATAAGGAAAAATAGATAGGATTAAAAAGATTAGCTATATATATTATGTCATCTGTCAGAAAACACGATGAGTGACTTTTTACTTCAGGGTTTTTTGACATATGTCAAAAAAGCAAATAAATCACGCTGATACAAACTGATTTCACTCACACACTCTAGATTTCTAGCTGTCAGTTCCACTGAGAAACGTCTCTTGGATCACCTTATAGAACACAAAAGATCTGTTCTCGTACTTACTTTTCTGTAAAGATTCTGTACAGCACATCTAAGAGGAAGAGGAGACAATAGGGGGCCTTTTTTGAACCAATTTTCTGTCAAACTTGAACCAGTTGGTCGGGTGAACGTATAGAAACGCGAGAATTTCTACAACAGGGAATCTATTTTCTTGTATTTTGTAAGTTGGCTGCGTCACCCATAATGAAATAGTTTTTGCACGATCGTTTCCACGAGAGAAGAAAAACACATCACACCCAAAAAGAAGTAAGTTGTCTCCTCTTCCTCTTAGTGTCAAATGTGATAACCGTGAAAAAATAAACGTCATGGATGTATCTTATAACATTGAAGCACTTCAATCAACCCATCACCAAATGACATTCTTGAGGCCCACATAAACACAAGAAAAGGGGAAGGACACTTTTCCATTTTATCCGTCACACAAACTAATACAGTTTCACCGCCACTCAACTGGCATTCTGACGTGGTAACTTATTCTCTTTTTTTTTCCTTTTTCCCCCTTTTCTTCCAGGCCCCAGAAGCTGGTGTGGCACGGTGCCAGCGCGCTTGGTGAGCGAGCGATGGACACGTACTGCGACTCGTGGCACTCGGACTCGACGGACAAGGTCGGGCTGGCCAGCAGTTTGCTCGGCAATAAATTACTAGATCAGGACCGGTATTCCTGCGATAATCGGTTCATAGTGCTCTGCGTCGAAGCACTGCCCCACGAACAACGACGACGGAAACGGGACGTCAGTAGGTAAGTATCTTTGGTACGGATGTGGTCCCACTGTCCGACCATCGTAGAAGAAGAGTAGCCGTTATTGTTGCTGTTGGTCAGAGGCTACTGAGTGGGAACGGGGGAAGTGATTTGTGAGATTTTTCGGCCATACTGTAGGACAAGAACGCACACATAGTAGGCCACATACCTACTCAGATGTGTATCGCATTCTGGAGCACAGTCCTGCAGTCGTTTCGGATTTTCAGCCGACATTGGCCGAGAGGGTGATAGGTGACAGGAAGGATTATTAACAAGAGAATTCCTCCGGCAACTGCGATGTGTCGTGATTGATGTTGGACACGTGCACTTGCATAGCAAAAATAGACGTTCAACGACCTGGTGTGAGATGCCCACCTTGGCATGTTGCCAACTCAATTCAAGTAAATTATGTTAGTTTTTCGTTGGCATACTTGATTTGCTGTGGTTGTTCAGTTGTTCAATACGCCTTTTTAATGCACCACCAACGTAGAGTGCGCCACGCGAGTTCGAGAAGAAACGTCAACCAAATCGATTGTTTACATCAGAATAACTATTTTTCACAACGCAAATTAAAGCATTTTTCATTCAACATCTTGCCAATTTCTATCGGTAATTGTTTTATTGTACGATTTTCCACAGATTTGAACTGATTTGTACCTTAACTATTCACACACAAGAAATCCGGAAGATCATAACCACTTATGAACTTTTCTAATTTTCCATTTTTCCCAACAAAAATATTCCTGAACACCAGCAGGATCTTTGCAAAAACGTTACAGAATTAAATTTTTCAACTGTAGATTAAGTCCTCGAGTATCTCAGATGAACCAATTTATTAGGAAAAGTAAAAAAGTGTTCCGCTTCCTATGTCTCAAGGCAAAAATTTCTGCTCACAACACTCTTTTTGACGTTCTCCTATTCACCACCAGAGGTTGAATCGATTGTTTAGTTCCCATTAAAAAGGCCTATGGTGACAGTATCATTTTAGGCTTTGAACCATTTGGTTGATTTTTTTAACTTTTGGTTAAAATTTGACACATGGAAAGGTATCGATTAACCCTGCTATCCGAGCGTGCTTATTTCTGACAGACAAGAAGTTAAATTTTGACAACCGCGGCTGAGTTCTTCTCGAAGACCGGTCGATCGACAGCACAGGGATTTTCGAACATACAGAATAACTTTCGAAATGTCACTTGTAACCACGAGTTAAATTTAACTCGGCAAATGGTTCACAGCCTTAGGCATTTCGAAAGTTATTTTCTATGTTCGAAAATCCTTGTGCTGTCGATCGACCGGTTTTCGAGAAGAACTTAGCCAAGGTAGAGTCGGTGTATAATGAGTCACGCCAAGAGTGAAGCCAAGTCTACCTATCGAACCGTCAAACCGGCTACCTATCGGGCAAAGTAAATAAACATTACGATGCTATGAAAGGTCCACGAAAGGTATTGCAATAAAATATAAAATATAATCGAAGAAATGAGCATAAACACGCAGTGAGCTTTAAATTGTCATGGGATACGTTCGGTAATGATCAGTAATGAGAATTTCTACTATTTTTTGTTAAGATAATTTGACAAAATCACTGATATAATGATTTACTACAGCCGCATTTTTTTTCTCTCGCTAGAAGTCATTTGAAGTTGTTGTAGAAGTCCTCTGTTGCCAAGTGAAAAGAATGGGAATCTTTCGAAAACCGTGATGCGAGTTCAACTGTTTTTCTCTTGGCGTGACTCATTATACACCGACTCTAAGCCAAGGTTGTCAACATTTAACTTCTTGTCTGTCAGAAGTAACCACGCTCGGATAACAGGGCTAATCGATAACTTTCCATCTGTCAAATTTTAATCAAAAGTTAAAATAATCCACCAAATGGTTCAGAGCCTTAGTAAAAATTAAAAATCCCAGAGGGCAGGACATCTTTGCAAAATCTTGTTTGATAATTTCATTTTCTTAACTTAGACTAAAATCTTTGGAATTTATAGAGACAGATGACAACGCCAAAAGGTTTGTGACGAGACAATGTGGAACTGAAGCGTTGGAATAAAACACGCACACTAAAATCTATACATGTACGAACCCACACCAATGAACGGATGGTACAGCGCAAATCAAAACAAGAAGCGGTGTCAAGACTCTACGTCATCAATCAGTTTTGAGAGCTTCCGTCTGCGTTTGCATTCGCCGACGTTTTCAAATACCTTCCTACGTTATAAATTAGAAAAGTAATCAATATGCCAACGTAATTTTTTGAATAGAGCTTTTTGACGTTCAATCCGCGCACACGATTGCACCATTTAAATTGAACGAGTGCGAGCAAGAGGGAAACAGATTAGTGGGAAAACAAACAGTGCATTCATCCATGTGTGCTAGATAGAGAAAGACAATTAAACGTCAAAAAGGTCTATAGAATGCGAGCTGCGTTGGCCAAGGAAGACGGCATATTTGATTAAATTGTTTAGCAATGATTTCGATACGTGGCAGTGACAGTGGCAGTTGGAACAATTCCTTAGAGAACGAGAATATTTTTCCATGTTTACTTACAGCAGCTTCGCAAATCATCAATTACTTTTTGAGATTTGCATCTTACTGATACCGGTGGTGATATTGGACACTCTTTCACTGGAAAGCAAAACATACTATAAGCCCATCATGATGCAAGCTTGCATGTGTGATTGACTTCTCAAGAGTTTTTTTTTTGCGTATAAAGTGGATTGAAAAACAGAGCAATCACAACAAAGTGTGAATCTTGCTTGCTAATGGTGATGACATCGAGGATGATATCGTCCTCTTCCTTCGGCTGATCATCAACGTCCGCACTGGCATCTGTCATGCTGACACCTGTCATTTATTGATCCCTGGTGATGAAGTTAGTTGAAGACTTGCAACAGGTACATTGTGCACTCACCAGGGGGCATTGCGATCACACATTGCCTTGTTCGAGGAATTGATTAGTGGGATATCTTGTTAATTTGATATCTTTGCTATAACCATAGAGGTAACTCTAAGACCACTGGGTCCCGAAGAAAATCATTATTATTTTTGGCTCACTCAGTACCAGAACAACGGTCCCAAGCAGTCCCAAGCTATTTCACTCACCCCTGCATGTTCTGCATGAATCCACACACCCCTGATGTTATCTGTCAAACTTTCATAGCGAATCAAAACAAACATAGTGTAGTAATAGAATTTCAACTAGAATAGGGTACGTTAATCGTTTGCTTGGGACCAATAGGCTACTAAAGTGGTGAGCCAATTTAAAATCGTTAGTTTCGTATTGATTGTTGCTATAACTGTGAAACGCCTGGTGAAATACCTTAATGACGAGGGGGCGACACATCTAAATCTCAATTTTAGATGATCAAAAAATCTCACACTAGCGAATCATTCTTCGAAAAATCTTCTTGCATTTCTCGCATCTACTTGCATCGCACATCAGTTTTGCAGGAAATCTTCGGAATCGTCATCAATCGTCTTTCTATCTACTCAGCGTGTGAGCAGTAGACTGATGCAAAATTTGACTTTTTCGCTCCACAGTGCTTAAATGGTTTCAAATCGGGTTCTGATTAGCCTCCTAAAGTTACAACTCATTTGGTTGGAAACAGACTTCGCACAAGCCATTTGAAGTTTACATGTAAATTACTATAGGAAATCTCAACTTTTTGTTCATTGCCTTCTAGTGTTTTTCCATATTGAACTGCGAAACAGTTCTATAGCCATTCTTATAGAAAATCTCAGCTACAACTTTGCTTAAGATCGTTTCTATGTACAGCGAGACAGGAAAAAGTTATTAATTATTTAAGAGATTGGTAAACTTATGACATGACCAAGCAGCTGCTCTGTAGGCAACACTGTATTTTGCAGTGTGACATAGTAGCCATGGTTTTTGTGTCCTATTCAACGCCCCAGAAACACCAATGTTGCCTGCTGAGCAGTTGATTGAGCATGATCATAAGACATCAGCGCATTGAACCATTGATAACTTTCGATCCTTGCATTTAATCAAAAAGTGGTTTTGAGAAAAGTTGTAGCTGTGAAAATTTCCTACACGTACAGTTGAAAGCTTCTGAAGCAGACCGATATGGTGAATTATTAGATAGACATGAACAAAAATCTTGGTTTTACCATAGTAATTCCCATACAAACTTCAAATGGTTTGTGCCATCTCAGTTTCTCACCAAATGGGTTCAAATTTTTAGAGGTTAATCAGGATCCGATTTAGAATCGTTTAAGTATTGTGGAGCGAAAATTTCAAATTTTGCATCACTCTAGTGAGCAGCTAGCCACAGCAAAACACAATCTTTCCTGCAGCGTAGATAGAGTCGTCCCCTTCGCTTAATGATCTGAAAATGGCCATGAAAACGCAGGAATGTTCAAAGATCTAAATAATGACCTTAGATCACAAAAACTCCTTCAAACCCACCAATATGGCCATATTTATCCAAATGGCTTTCAATATGTTAAAATAGCCTTGGAACACTGAAGTGGCATCTAAAACGCCAAAATGGTCAAAGAATATGCTAAAATGGCATGCTAAACTAGATACAAACCGTTAAAAAGGCTTAAATCACCTAAATCTTGATAGAGCTGGAATTAGGGCGTAACAGCTTTTGTAATCAATGACTTCTCTCGATGATTCTCGAAAGTCAAGGCACGCCCACGCCAACCAACATAACCAACGGGAAGAGGAAGTCTTCATCTACCCGATGGTGACGTTGATTTGAGTGGGCGAGCTTTGGCTTCATAGAAATTATCGAGATAAGTCATTGTTTACAAAAGCTTTTTTTTTTTTCCTTTGGTTTGTTTTTTCCGTCGGTCTTGTTTTCCGTGCTGAGCACCAATGCTACCGACGTGCCAGGAAGGCAGCTCCCACACCTGGACCCTACCTATCGACCCATCAACTCATGAACCGGGGACCAACGGCTTTACTTCCCATCCGAAGGAAGGCGTGATCAGAGATGTTATGCCTCAGAACATCCCGGCGGCGCCGACCGGGATTGAACCCAGGCCTGCTGGAAGTTTACAAAAGCTGTTACTCCCTAATTCCAGCTCTATCTAGAAATAAGCCATAACTCGTCGAAACAGCTGCCTCATATTGGACACATGCGCTGCTCTTTGACTACAAGATGATTTAAGCGAAAAATCCTCCCTAATCTGTTCCATTATTTTTTCAGACACACGCTCGAGTTTACCAACGAGGACGACTACAGTCGCCATCTTGCCGAAGTATTGCAGGAAACGTAAACAGGCTGAGCATTTCCCGCAAGAGAAGGAAGTCAAAAACATAGTTACCCATCCATCATACACAACAAACAACAGTCACAGAGCAACATCGCGAAAACAATAAAACAATAGGCTAGAAAACATGTAAATCCATCATGACGGCAAAGAAGAAGTAGAAGAGGATGAAGGAGACAAAACGCAACCCAAGGCTGCCAAAGTTATATAGAGTGAACGAGTGATAGTACTGGTGGGGGTGGTGGTGGTGGTGGACCCCTTGCACCACCATCGAATCCGTGCAGTGACGTCGATGTCTTCGCATCAGATGAAGAGAAGAACAATAACAGTAGAAGCAAACGCAAATGGTCATGGCCTACTAGGTATATTATACTGGCGAAGACGATGACGGAAATCAACTGTCATCATGCACTGGAAGATGCTGATGAATAAAAATTGCCGAATGAAGTTCGTATGCTTGATGAGTGAACAAAGTGCAGAAAGTCGATTGTCAAATTGACAACCTGGAAGTGTTCAGTAGAAAAGATTTTTTCAATAGTATTTTTCTTGACCGGGAAAGAGCGAAAATGCCAATATTAAACAAAAGTAAAGGCAAATGGGCAAACTGTACACAATAATGATAATAAGAAAAGGAAAAATGTAGTCAAATTATGATTATTATTAATGTTCCGCTCCGCTTGTAAGAAAAGAGTGAAGAGGGCGTTTCAGTGTGAAGTTGAAAAGTATCAAAAATGTTGAACTAAATATAGCAAAAATAGTATTCTGTAATCGAAACCAACGACAAAGCAATGATACTTTTGAACTTCAATGCAAAACAAAACTACCACTCAAAAAGTGATTGTAAAAATGAACTCTTCTTCAGCATTTAATAGGAAAACGTGTTTAATTTTGTGGGCTAACGAAATGAATGCGAAACGTGCGAATGTGAGAATTTTACAACCAAAAAAGCGGAAAATTTATTTATTCTCCCGTCTCTTCCAAGAAAAAAAAACTAATGCATCTTACTCGTGTGTACACTGTAAAAAAAAAGTTAGTCTAGATTTAAGCCGTATATTGTTTGTAGAAAGTGAAAACATTTTATTTGTTGACAGTTTTGAACGAAAAACAAAACAAAACACATAAAAAACAAAACCAGTGTTGTGAAACGGAGTCCGGAAAATCCGCAAAACTAAGCATTTGAAGCATTTTTAGAAACATACTGCGATTGGTCGCTTTAGATCTTCTTAGGTCTTACGAAAGAGCAACATGTCATTACTTTTTCTTTCGATTGTAGACAACGGCAAACAAAATCCAAACGCAGTTACTCAGTGTCACGAAAATTTCAAAAATCAAACATAAACAAAGTACTATAGCTGTAACGACGATTCTGTTTGTACTGAATGGACAAAACTTTTTTTTCCGAAAATAGCGATAAAGTGTAGACCAATAAGTTATTTAAAGAGAAAAAGAAAGATTGCAGAGCGGATGCAGCTTGAATGTATTGGTCATGTTAAAGAAAATTGTTTGATTCGGTATTTACAATTTGAAAAAAAAAATCACACTGAACCCTATTTAGAGCGCGGAAGCATCGAGTCATCATGCATCCGTTTAACAAATGGGAATGAATCGAAAAAAAAATGCTTACTTAAATTTCAAAACAAATAAAAAAGAATGCTCTTTAGTGTTAAGGAAGGCAACAGTAATTGTAACAGTAAGGAAAGTTTTTTTTTTGTAAATAAATGATTAAAATCTACATCTGGGAACGGTTGTTTTTATCTGTATCTGGGTTGCAAGCTCGGGAATGAACCATTTCGTGATCGGATCGAGATTAGAGTCTATGTATAAGAGTCACGACAAGAGAAAAACAGTGGAACTTGCATCACGGTTTTCGAAAGATTCCCTTCCCTTTCACTTGGCAACAGAGGACTTCTGCGTCAACTTCAAATGAATTCTAGCGAGAAAACAACGACTGTAGTATATGATTATAAGGTAATCCATGAGACGTTTCGCAGTTGACCTGACAGCTAAAAAGTTGTGACTGTGTGAGCGAGCAGGTGTTGACGAATGCAAGATACCAATATAAACAAAGATATTTTCAATGAGAAAGTTCTGTCAGTTCACTATGAACTGTCAAAACTTCTCAATAAACAAAAAAATCAGCTGACCGCACTCGTGGAATGCCTTATATCAGTGATTTTGTCGAATTATCATAATAACAAATATTTCAAATTCTCATTACCAAACGTTTACCAAACGATTACCCGAGGAGTTATCTCTATGATAGTGATACTTTTTGGCTCAGCTCTGGTACTCTCTTCGGTCCCAAGCTAATCGATTCACCCCTGGGTACTATCAACCGGTGGAAACTAACGATTTCAAATTGGCTCACTATTTGACTAGCCTATTGGTCCCAAGCAAATCGATTAACGTATCCCATTCTAGTCAAAATTCTAGTACTTCACTCTGTTTGTTTTGATTCGCTATGAAAGTTTGACAGATAAAATGAGGGGCTAGTGGATTTTCGTATGTTTCGAGGCTTGGTACCGAAGATAGTATCAGAGCTGAGCCAAAAAGCTGAGCACGTTTCTTCGGGACCTACTAGTCTTAGAGAACTGGTTCCGGAGATGTATGGCCGGAACATTTTCTGGTTTGTAAATGCCATGAAACAAACTGCGGCCTGAAATGAATAAAGCCCATCATGTAACAAATGAGCGGCTTAGAAGGAAAGGAGTGTAAGTGACTTTTATCGATCCTCTTCATCGACTTTCTCTTTTGATAGCCACAGCTTTGAAAACAGATTTTGCGCTATTTCTGCCACATAGTTTGATAAAGGAGGTTCTCATCTAGCATCCAGAATGGCACACAGATCAATGAATGTGTTTGCAGATTAATTATTAACGAAAGACCCCCCTCAAATCAAATGACATAAGAATTAAAAAAAAAACAGTTCAGTTCAATAGAAGTAATAATCAGAGCACAGAACTTTAACGGCGATGTAACGGGAACCCTCGACATCAGTTTCTCTAAGTAGGCCCAAATCCTTCATGCGTTATCTTAAATCCCATAAGAATTCACCTACCGCTTCTCATCCTATAAGCACTAGGGTGGGTCAACGTTACAACACCGACAAACTGACATGCCACTGGAGCATTTCGTTTGACCGCAATCCGATTTGTCAAATGAGCGATTCGATCTGTCAAACGTGCAATCAGATTTGTCAAACGAAGTGAGACGCAAACCAAGTCAATATAAATTTAACGTGTGTTCGTGTCCTTGCTCATGATATGACGCGATCGGATGAGTAGATGGCGGTAGTGTTAAACGTATTTTTAATATGGCGTCTTGGGCAAGATTTTGAAAAAAAGCTTCTATGAGCTGTCACGTCGGTTTGTCGGTGGCTACAACCCCATGCTCCCCCACTGCTCTTTCGATGCGCATTGAGGTCTCCAACAACCTGAGTACTGCGAACTCAGCCGATTTTATTTGTCAAGAGAGCTAGAAAACAGTTTGAAAATCTTCCGAAGTTTCAAATTGTTTTGCTGAAACAGCTCACGAAATTGTATATACACGCTGCCAAAAGAACTCTTGGCTCCTCCTCCTCTACTCCAGAAATAACGTATACATGGTGATGAGAGTGCACCTGCCCACAAAGCTCACATGACTCTTATAAAGTTTGATTACATTCTTGTTTCAGCAACCCAGTTTTGGTATTATTAATATCAAATAAAAACACTTTTTCGAGCATCACGCTCGATGATTTACATTATCCGCCTACTAAGGTTGATGTTTCGACAGTTTCATAATTATAATTCTTAATTTGTTTTCAGTAGGTGGCTATACCTTTACTTGTGGCTCAAACAGTAACTACCTACGTGACTTCTGAGCTCTTTTGAATGTTTGGCTCCCGTTTGACAGTTTGACTCGGCTCCCAGGCAGCGCTGCCATTTATACAGATTTATCTGTATTATACAGATTTTTTAATCTTAATACAGACCCGATACAGAATACAGATTTATCACAGATTTTTAAATTACAATACAGATTTATACAGATTTTTATAAAATGAATGTTATGGTGTTTTTGACAGCATTCACACCCAGAGGACCAACCGCTTTCGGATGCATATGGAGCTGGTAGTAAACGATTTGAGATTGTATGGGGATTTACAGTATTAATTGAATATTTCCAATATAAGCATGTATGTTAAATACAAGAAAAGTGCCCGAGCACATTAAAATGGTACAAATACAAGTACTCGTAAACATTTTACTTGCATTGAAAATGTATTGCGTAAGAAATTGCGGATTTTCTGATATTCTCCATACTGCAAAAATGATTTTACCAGCACTGGCGGGGCGACATCTCTCGACTTTTCGGTGTAACTACCACACAAATGATGTAATTAATTGTATTCATCTATATTAAAAATATCAAATAGTAATGAACTCGTGCACTTTTTTGCATTTAAAACTGCTTATCAGGAAGATAAGGAATAGAAACTAAAATCTCCATACATTTTCAAACGGCTTCATATCACTCTTATAAATAAGTACGGAAGATATCACAAATGGCGCAATTATATCCCGTATGATTAGTAAGATAGCCCGAATAGGTGGTTAAGCACTTTTTATGGTTATTTTGTATGCACTGTATTTGTAAAACAACAAAACATGATTAATTAAGAAAAAAATCGTCAATACAGAAAATACAGATTTTTTAATAGAGTGGATACAGATTTTTTTAAAACCACCTGGCAGCTCTGCTCCCAGGTGACAAGCATTTTGAGTTAGTTCGCAGTACTCAGCCAACAACTGTGCAAAATTTGAGCGAATTCGGTTATGATCTGGATTTGAGGGAGAATTTTAAATTTTGTATGAGCAAATGCATGGAAAATGACACGAAACTATTCATTTGTAGAAGAAGGGTATGATTTTATCATTGGAGGATTGATTCTGGTTTTTAACTATGACCTGCATATATTATCTGTTTCTGTGGTAACAAAACGCGCCGAAAACAACGCAGAAATCGTCTTCATACGAATATCGATGGCGACGATTTCTGCGTCGTTTAAGGCGCATTTTGTCACCACAGAAACATACAATACTACATCCTATTGCTCACTTATCAGCATTCTAAATGTATCAGATATTTATATAGAATTTACCTGACACATTTTCAATCAGATGGTTTATACCCCGTTCACATTACAGCCTATATCACGTAATATAGGCTGTCTTGCAATGAGCACTCATACATAGGATTTCCAGTGAAAACTAGATGTATGATTGCTCATTGCAAGACAGCGTATATCACGTGATATACGCTGTAATGTGAACGGGGTATTAATTGGATTTTCTTGTAATGCAAATTTATTAGACTTCCACATAAAAGGAATATGTCATATTGGTTCAATACAGATTTTTGCAGGGGGAACGACACTCATTCAGATGTATTTTATTTAAAAACATAACGGCTTGCCATGCGAGTGGGATGGAAAGAATAGATCTGAATAGAAATAAGGATGAACAGGGATGTAAGGGATATCATGCAAACAAAATATACAGAGATTCATTAATATAGAAAAGGGATATCTGAGTTTTGTTGGTAGCGGTAGCTGAAATAGATGTAATGTCGGCCTAAATGCCCCTAATTTGAGCCCATACATAAACTCAGCAATCCAATAAATTTTCAATAGCGTCCAAAAATATCCATTAGTACCGTCCCAATGACCCGTTCATCTAGATAAGATTGATAAATAGCAGATTTTTAGAGATGG